GAGAGAGAGAGAGAGAGAGAGAGAGAGAGAGAGAGAGAAAGAGAGAGAGACTCTAGTTGAACAGCGAGTCAATTCGCAGTTATCGAGGTCGATGTCAGGTCGTGATCTATTTGGTGACTGACCACCTTTAAGAAGTGGTAGACCACCTTCAAGAAGTGTCAACCTTCACGAAGTGCCAAACAGTCGGCGGTCAGAGGACTCCAGTGCCAAAAGCATTCTTAGGGGACCTTGCGGTTGTGTTCAGAACATATTGGCGTAGCACTAAATGCTCACCTAGCAGTTCTGGATGTCGGTTATATCGACACATCATAAGATGCCTTACAAGCAAGCAGCGGCTGCTTGCAAAACCTTCTACCCGGTATGGATCTTTGAGAGCAGAGTTTCGCACTCCACCGTGAGATCCACGTCGGATAGGTGGACCTGCCATCCTACCGCTGTTAGCTGTAGTCACCTTGAGGGAGTCGATGAGGTGAGGACCCGACAAAGAAAACTCTCAGTGGACTTTGCTGCCGTGTTTTTGGAACTTATTGGCGTAGCACTAGATGCTCACCAAGGAGTTCTGGATGTCGATTATATCGACAAATCATAAGATGCCTAACAAGCAAGCAGCGGCTGCTTGCAGGACCTTCTACCCGGTGTGGATCTTTGAGAGCAGAGTTTCACACTCCACCGTGAGATCCACATCGGATAGGTGGACCTGCCATCCTACCGCTGTCAGCTGTAGTCATCTTGAGGGAGTCGACGAGGTGAGGACCCGACAAAGAACACTGTCAGGGGACTTTGGTGCCGTGTTTGGAACATATTGGTGTAACACTAGATGCTCACTAAGCAGTTCTGGATGTCTATCATATCGACACATCATAAGATGCCTTACAAGCAAGCACCGACTGCTTGAAGGACCTTCTACCCGGTGTGGATCTTTGAGAGCAGAGTTTCGCACTCCACCGTGAGATCCACATTGGGTAGGCGGACCTGCCATCCTACCGCTGTTGGCTGTATTCATCTTGAGAGTCGATGTGGTGAGGACCCGACAAAGAACACTCTTAGGGGACTTTGCTGCCGTGTTTGAAACTTATTGGCGTAGCACTAGATGCTCACCAAACATTTCTGCATGTCGGTTATATCGACACATCATAAGATGCCTTACAAGCAAGCAGTGGCTGCTTGCAGGACCTTCTACCCGGTGTGGATCTTTGAGAGCAGAGTTTCGCACTCCACCGTGAGATCCACATCGGATAGGCAGACCTGCCATCCTACCGCTGTTGGCTGTAGTCATCTTGAGAGTCGATGAGATGAGGACCCTCCTCGACGTGAAGCAAAGTGCGAGGGAATTGCTCAGGGCTCACACCAGAAGTGCGATTGAACTCGCACTTTGATGGAGAAGCAGTTGTGCAGTCCATCAGTGCGACAATTTAATATGGACATTGGCTTGTCATTTCTATATCACACGTTGAAAACGTCATCAAATCTTTCTATATAGAAGATTCATATCCATTCATACAAGTATCTCTTGTCATCGCAAACATCGAGATGAAAACATCTCAAGTCAAATTGCAAAGCACACAGAGACATTGCAAACATCGAGGTGAAAACATCTCAAGTTACGCACTGTTTTTCCAAAGGTGAAGTCTCCGAGCAGACGATCAGTTTCCAGAAACCATTTTATGCAGAAAATTCATTCAAGGGCAAATTACAAAGCACAGAGACTTTCCAAATTGAACGCAAAATATCATAGAATGCCACATTGCAAAGTGCACGGAGGCTTTCCAAAAATCACAAAGTACATGGAGCCAAAGTGCGAATATGTTCTCATTTCCCATATGAAACCAACAGTTCAATCACAAATGCACGACATCCAAAGTGCGAATATGTTCGCATTTCTCATACGAAAACAACAGTCAGCATTTCGTGGAGAGCACAAGATATATTCCGGGGATAACAAAATTGGTGATCACTCAGTGCACCGATGAATCCGTAAAACAACTTCAAGCACACATACATTCTGACGACAATTGGTTTCCGAATGGATAACAAGTTCGAAACTGTCATAAGGAACCGACAGACAACATTCAATCGAGACAAGCAAAGGGGGTGAACCGTAAAACGGGGCGACACACGTAGAACAAGGACGAGCCAAAACATATGAAAGTTGGGTGGTCGGGGTGGGGCGGGGGAGAGGGGCTTTCACACAACAAAGTCTCACGAACGAAAGAGATAAGCACGAAACAATTTGGCGACCAATAATAAATCGTTGATATCTTTCACATGAGTAAAAGAGGAGCACAACCTCGAAACGAACAAACGCAGCACGGTGCTGCCGCGGTCTGAGAGGACATAAGGAGAACAACCCGAAAATAAACAAAAAGAGCACAAAGTTGGGATATTCACATCCGATATGTAAGCGTCTACTTAAAAGGAACTGCACCACGTGGCTGGGATATTTACATCGGCATCTAAGCTTCTACTTCACGTAAGCGTCCGCTGCTACCCTCTAGCTGATGTTGCGCGGCAAGCAATGAGAACAACCCGAAAACAAACAAAGGAAGCACGGCGCTGCCGAAAGTCCTACGAGTAAAGATGACAGGTTCCACGAAATGAAGAACCCTTAAAAAATTGATACAGCACTAGGCTGGGATATTCACATCGACACCTAAGCCTGTACTTGACCAAGACGTCCACTGCAATCCGACACCTCATAAAAACAACAGCACAGCTCGAACCGGCTGACTACTAGATCAAGTGGGAATAGATTCGCCATTCTGCTCATGGCATTTCGAAAAAAAAACTACACGTATTTTTACAACAGTGGTACCATTCAGCGCCTTGGAGTATGTCCACCGCAATCCCCAGCCGGATGTTTGAAATGTCGCTTTGGGCTATCGGAAATGGTGGCGGACAGCCGCGTGCAAGAAATGAAGCGAAGGCGAGCATGAAAACACCGCAGCTCGACCCGTCCGATTGTTGAAGGACACCACGAACAACCACCTTGGGCTCCTGGAGATCCACTTTCGCTTTTGAACCATAATGACAAACTGCTTCGTCACGGAGGTATTGCGTGAAGTTCGCAATCACATCGGAAGAAAAACCGCCATCGTCTTGTACGAGGGAGTCGTAGTATTTCAGCCTTTGTTCTCGGAGACACAATAGGGTCCAATGCACTCCATGTTTATGGACAGGAATCAAGACCATCTCGTGCGAGAAAATATCCACATCTTTTGTCCATCTCGCAACCCTATCATGTCGATAGCCGCCACGGACGAGCTTGGTATAGAAAAATGGACTGAGAACTGACCCCTTTGCGAACCGAGCACACCACCTCGTGGCCGTTGCTGTAATCTCCACAGACGTTCCGCAACATTCTCAAGTCCTTAGCGATAAGCTCCTCAGTAGGCAACGGAACGCGAAAACATGATGTAGCCCCAGCTGCACAAACACCCACGAACAAGTGCGAGGAGTGAGCACAAACCCCGTGGTGGAATGGCTAAGAACTGTCTGCCCTTTTCCCAGGAAAGTTGTATCCCCGCTTGTTGAATGTGTCCTTCGCGATGTACTTAGGACACGGGTCTTTCAAGACACCCCGTTTGCCATCGTGATCAGACCCGTCAGACAAAGCAGTAACGCTCTCAATAGACGCAACCAAATGTTTCCGCAGACCTTCCTCCTTGTCTATTCCACAAGCCTTCAGAACCCTGACAACTCTCTGGGAAAGGCGAGGCATCTGGACCCTTTTAAACAACCCTACACTTGACGACTTCTTCGGTGAAGCGGCAAATGACCTCCCTGAAAGACGTTTCTCGCGCACGGCTTTTAAAGGCTTCATGGGCAGGGACATTAACAACCTCACACCTGTAGAACATAAAAAACAACCCACAACCCACAAACTTTTTTTTAACTAGTGGTAACAGGTACGTTAGCCCATGGCATCAATTTGGATGAACACATAGCTGGCTAGTGACAGATATGCGAGTGGTCCTATTCACACATCTTACCGTGCTCGGGAGCCCTTTGAGGGAACTCGCCCTCCTGTCGCGCCACTGCGCCAACGTCCACGGACGATTCGAGGTTCTGGACCTCGGCCACGGTTGTGTCGCTAACCAGCTCGGTGGCAGCTGAGTCGCTTGGCAAGTCTATGGGTTGATGAAGCACCATTTCCCGACCGGTACTGAGGACAGGTGCTCGATCACCCTGTTCGGCACCGCAACGGGTGRACGGAGAATCATGATCTTTCCGCTCTGGATTCATCTTGATGCTGACGGCCATCTCACCGCTTTCCACGGAGGATTCGACGTTCTGCATCTCGGCCACGCYTGAGTCGCTAACCATCTCGGTGGCTGTCGAGTCGTCACCCAACTCTATGGCTTCGTGAAGCACCATTTCCCGAGCGGTGCTCAGGACAGACGCTCGACCACCCTGTTCTTCACTGCAACGGGTGGGCGAAGAATCACCATCTTTCCACTGTGGATCCGTCCGGATGTCGACAGTCACCTCACCGCCTGCCACCACGGGTTCTCCGCCTTTCTCATCGCCATGAACCCGAGCTTCCACCGCGGGTTCTTCTTCGTCTTCATCGTCGCCAAGAACGGGAGCTTGCACGAACGTCCACTTACCTCCCTTAACGACACCCTCTCGCGTCGTGGCCACAGCCAAGCGACTGTGCAGAACCTCTTCGGACGTCCCGATCACCAGCGCTCGTGCGTGGAGCCACTTCACGTCTTCACGAGCCGGCCCGTGTCGAGTCTCCTCTCCCCGCTGTACAGCATGCGTTTCCCCCGGAGCTCCTGCACTCTCGCTGTCAGTGTCCACGGATGCACCCTCCGAAGTATGACGTTCACACTCGCTACCCCCGGTCTCCAACACTTTGCGAGACTGCCAGCGTTGAGTCTCCTCTTCTCGATGTACAACACGCGTTCCCGGAGAGCGCTCGTCTTCCCCAGGAGTATGACGTTTGTTCTCGCTACCTCCGGTCTCAAACACTCTTGGAGCAGGCCCCTCCAGCACGTTGTCAGGCGGCCACAAGTAGTGGGCCGCCTGAAAGTGGCAGTCTTGGAACTTAGGCACAAGGACAAGTCCGTGCAATGACGGTATTCTGGTTTGACCAGGCAGCAAAATTAGGGGGACCCAGAGCGCCCCTAAGATTGGAGGTGTCGACCGTTGGGAGTAGCCCTCAAGATCGACAAGAGGGACTACCGCTTCAACCGCGCTGACGCCCCCCTCTTTTTTTCACCTGCTCCGAGGCTATTTCCGAAATGGCTAGCCGTGGGATGGTAATATGGGAGTAGACCTTGGCACGACTCTTCTACATCAGCCTATCGATGGGGAGATGGAGCCTCGAATTTTGATAATTCCAATGATAGAATTAAAATTAAGGAGAAAATAATTAAAAATAATAAGAGAAGGGAAAACAAAGGAATTTTCGCTATTTAATTGAACTCCCTCGGAATTCATTTTTGATAAAAATACGTTT